AAATATTGGGTTCGCACATCATTGAACATTCATTAACAATTCATTCAGTCAGTCCTTCAGCGAGTCCTTCTACGAGTCCTGCAACAAGTCCTTCAGCACGTCCCTCAGCAAGTCCTTCAGCTTGCAGACATGTTGCCTTGCTTATCTCCAAACAACTTGATGCTGACCAGCCTTGTCGCATCACTTTGGATAAATTCTGCTTTTGGTTGTGATCACCGGTTACTCCTCCTTGAGATTGCAAGACGGACCTTCCTTGTCCCATGCCTCTGCCGAAACTGTCACCTCCAAAGCTTCCTCTACCATAACCATCGTAGTTATAGCTTCCTTTGTTATAACATCTTCTTGTTATAACCGCCTCTATTTCCTGCTCGAAACTTCCCGTAGCCTCCACGCTTAGGGTTTGAGGTCCTTGGTCTTCACTTTGGGTTTCATACCCAACCCGTTTTTCATACTCCAGTAACCTCCCAACAATGTCTTCAAACCCCATCCGCTTTAGGTCAAGAACTTGCTCCAGGGATGCTACAATATGAATGAACTTGGTTCGTGGTTGTGGATTCTCGCCTGCCATCCTTGCTTACGAGACACATACCACCGGTCTTGTCTAGAGTCTTCAAACTAAGCTCTGATACACCACAGGTCTTGTCCAGAGTCTTCAAACTAAGTTCTGAACTTATACAGAGTCTTCAAACTAAGCTCTGCCATACCACAGGTCTCGTCCAGAGTCTTCAAACCAGAAGCTCTGATACCAAATAAAGTTCAGAGCCGACTTGCTCTGATACCAATTAAAGTTCAGAGCCGACTTGCTCTGATACCAATTCAAATCAAGATCACCTTATCTTGACTGCTCTGATGCCCAATTCAAATCAGGAACACGTTACCCTGACTAAGTTACTAAATGATTCAGAAAGTGATTCAGCAACACGAGAACAAGAGATTAAAGAACAACCTTTCTTTATTGATTTAGAAACTTCACAAAACTAAATCTCTCTCTTCTGTCCTCTCTGAGGTCTTATGGAACAACTCTCCATAGCCTCTCATATATAGAACTTATCTACCCCTAAGTCTATATGAGTCTCTTTCTTCTAGACTCTCATGAGATCTGTCTCAACACCTCCACGTGTCTCAACTCTCATCTTCGGATGCTGGAGCTCCTCTGGTAGCAGAACTCCCCCCGAGTTGTATTTATTTCTATTTCCAAATATTTATTTCTATTATCTTATATACTAGTCAAATATACTCCATATTTCCAAATATCTATTTCTATTATCTTAAATAGATATCAGATACTAAGGAAGTTAAGTTTTGGAGTTGGACTTTACTTATATATTATAAACTTCTTTTCTAAACTTCCGATGTGGGACGTTGGTTTGTACCCAACAATTTATAGACCAATATGGTTTCCTTTGTCATTTTGAATAATTTAACTAAAGACATTTTGTAATATGAAAAAGTAGGGGTCAATGGCGAGTATCGCTTATCTCGAACTCTCTCGTCAGCAATCTTTGTAATGCGCTATTATTGATTATAAATAGCATATCCTTCGTGCTAATTGTTTTTAGGATTTTAATGTAAATGATGACTTCTTCTGAGATAAAATTGTTGAGGTAGGAAAATCTAAAAGTTTCAAAATATTAATACTGAATAACTGATGAAATCTTTAGAGAACTCCAAAAAAATTTATGAAAGTTTTTTGGGCGAACTTTCAGGCTGATAATGTATCAGAAAGGAGACGAGCCTCCGCGTTTGCAATACTTACCGGAATTACATCATGCGCATTCGTTTGTGCCAATCTTTGTGCTCGATTTTTATCTATTGCCGTGACATATCAGGTATCTCTATATACTCAGAGTTATATATATGT